AATAGAGAGGTTGCGCGAACCAGGTTGCCGTTCTCTGCTCGTTATCCAGGATCCTCGAGGAAACGCTGACCCGTTCTCACGGTGGCGACTGGTCCCGATCCATTTCCGATGCAAACCGCGAGCATTCTCAGGTAAAGGTTAGGCTTCCCCTGACAGTTCACAACATTTTCTGTGTAGATTTTGGTTTAGGTCCCTTGATTTGGATTCTTCATCGTTAAGCACTCTTGGTTCTGTTCAATTCCGCAGTCTATATTAATTTTCTTTTTCTTGATAACTGTTCCTAGATGTTTACGTTTCCGCTCTTCCTCCAAATAACCATCTAAAAGACAGCAGCAACCGAAACCTCCGCTTATAAGTGCTGTCCATATTGACTGAAAACTATTTGATCGTTGTGTTCTTGTGTCTAACGACATTTTTTCAACAGTGATACAGAATTCCGGATGAGTCCAGTTCTCATCTAAGATAGAAAAAAATACCCCACTATTTTTATGGCCCTTGATAATAAGTTTTGTTCCATTGAGGAAATTAGCTTGTCTTAGCCACGAGGAATGAAAACCAAGACACAAAGGCGTCATCAAAGGTGTCACCAACGCCTTTGTGTTTTAGTTTTCATTCATCGTGGCTAAGACAAGCTAATTTCCTCAATAATCATGAGCACGACGCCCAAGTTTTTCAGTGAGGTCCGTTCCATTCATGGATCTCGTGTTATTAGTTTGTGCCATTGCCTGAATAAACCCTTAAGTGGTAGAGTGAATTTTAAGTATTTCACCATACTCGTCATCTTGTCAGTAAATATCGCTGATCACTTTTTACACTTTATCCTATATCATTTTGTGTTCCATGAAGCCAGATCCAGCCCTGTTGAATGCAGCTAAAAGAAAAAAGCAAATGAGTTCAATCTCCCCCGGTCCAATTGTGGAGGGTTTACTCGCTGCCTCCACTGCTACATATCTTCCTCCATCGGACCTCAACTTGACTTATCAACGATTGGCGTCTGCACAGACGTCTTATCTCCTCGGCGACTCTAGTAGTATGGCCTGGCTAGATGACGATCTGCTTAAGTTTATGAAGTCAAGAGGACAGAACTGGACGGCAGGTGACATGTTAAATTACACTGTTCGCGAGCCAAGAGCATTACAGGTGAGTTTTGTCGTTTGCTTTTAAACTCGGCTCCACGAGTAATGATTTTTTCAATTCTACCTCAGTTCGTTTGGTTTTTATCTGATAAACTGTGCATTAAATTTCCCGTTCAAATGGTCACAAGATAGTCATTTTTTGTCCGATCACCAATGTTTGATTATACTTACCAACCTCCAAAACATTACATGAGATCCTTTTTCTGTTATTTGCATTCAAGGTCGGATTCGCTGGCCTCACCATAGAATCTTTTCCTGCTCCCGCTTCTGGTGGTCCGTTTTTACTGAGCCTTCTGGGAAATCTGGATTTTTTAAATACTATGAAACCATTAAATTTCCACGCGCTGTTGAGAAATGATCCCGAAGAAACGGCTATCCTCCTCCACCGTTTGATCGAATTGTCCAAATTTGCCGAACAAGGTGCAGCCGGGTTGGGTGATGCCTCGGATCCATCCCTGCGTAAGTTTTATTCTCTGTGTGAACCCTAAATTTTTTTCTCTGTGGGGTGCATTCAGATAACGTTAACTCCTATTTTTCTACAGTCGTCTTCTTGAAAAGGTGACCCATCACTAGTGAGATTATGAGTCAATGAAGTTATTAGTAAACCTCCCATTCCTTACTGGTAATACTCACCCACCTTGGGTTTGTCCGTTCCGATTTGCTAGAAAGCTTACTCTATTCGTTGGAAACGCTCATTGGTTCTGCGTTTCATCAACCGGGTAAAGATGAGTTACAAAAGGATTTACTCTTCTGATGCGCGAATGGTTCTTTCATTCCCTGTTTGTGTTTCCTCATGTTGAGTCAAGCCGCCAAGCTGGCTCTGTTATGTGTAAAGCCAAAGTCAAAGTCCACTGTGACGGAGGCCTACTTAGTTCGTTGTAAACCCTCACTCGACCAGAGGTGTGAGTAGTGACCGCAGTATGTTAAGGTACTTCTGGAGCATTCCTTTTCGAAGAAGGGAATCCATCAGAGCTTCGTGGTCAACTAGGTTGAATGCTCCTTTCAGGTCAAGGAACACTGCGATCGTTGGTCGACGGTTGATGTGACGCAGCTCAAGGACCTGACGCAACGTAAAAGTTTGATCAGTACATCCACTGCCATGCCGGAATCCGGCTTGTTGTTCACGGATATTGATCTCTCTTAAAGGAGTCAGTCGCCGAAGTTTGGTCGAGGCTAGCACTTTGGTGACGATCGGTATCCAACTTAACCCGCGGTGTTTATAGCAATGTCGCGAGATCCTTTTTTAAAAATTGGAACCATCCGTGATTCGCCCCAAGAATAAGGAATACGCTCTTGCGTCCAAATGTTGCCCATTACCGTGGTAATAGAGCTTACGAGGTTATCACCGCCCATCTTGAAAAGAGTGGGAGGGAGCTCATCTGGTCCCGCTGCTTTTCCTCGCTTCAGAGTTTGAATGCAAGACCGAACTTCTGCTTCTCCTGGAGAATTGCCCGACAATGCCCACGCAGCTTCAGATACAGATGAAGTAACCTGACTAGCGACAGGCCAGCTGAACTGTTCGTTGAAGTATTCCTCCCACCGGTCAAGCCGTTGTTCCCTATTTTGAATAGCTTGTCCACTTTTGTCGTAAACTTTTTCATTAACTGGAGTTCGCCGATCTCCCGTATTGCGTATCAGTCGGAATAACTTTTGACTTTTCCCGGATGCAACCGCTACTTCCATTTCACTAGCTTTTGTTGCCCATCAGTTTTCACGGTCCTTCTTGAGGTTCAGGCCCACAAGCAACAGTTGCTGCAGAATGCATTGCTCGCCTAATCTAATCCCACTACTCATCTACATCATCACTTTGAAGCGCGCTTAGCTCACACACTAGCTGTGACTCAGCGTGCACGAACAGTCGGAACAGATAGTCGATGGTGAGCTATATAAGTTAACAGGTTTTGTCGTCGACCAGTCAGCTGAAGAGTGAACTGCATCAAAACTAATGCGTGATCAGACTCAACGAAGGTGGTCCAATAGGACCTACAATTTTGCACTGAGCTAGGCCAACGGTAACTTACTGCTATGTGATCGATTTGGGTTACCGTAACAGTTGAGATAGAGCGCCAAGTTGCCGTCCGTCGAGAGCGGTGTCGGAAGTTGGTACTGCATAGAAACAGATGATGGTCTGCGCAGAACTGATGAAATCGATCGCCGTTATCTGTTCATTGGCAGGACAGAGCACAACTACCGCCTAAGCAAGCTTATGATGCGCTCAGTTTTCCAACCTACACTTTCAAGTTACCTGCTTCGATTCATCCGAATGAGATCGATGAGTTCATCGTAGAAACTGTCCGCTTGTGTATCAGAACTGCAATAGGTCGGTGCATATGCCGATATGATGAACAAACAACTTTTGGTGTTGCTTCCTTTCGGACGCTGATTGAACCTTGGAGCAAACTGTACATAAATGACAGTTGATGGGGATCTAGTTGATAAGACAGGACTCAACCCTGTTATTGAGTACAACCCTCCGCACTGACCTACTGCGCGGACTTGGTCGTCGCCTGATATGTGAAGAACGTATCTCGAAGGTAAATCTGGTACGCTCGAGTGGCTTACTAGGATCCTGAATTCGAGTCTCCGACGAGCAGCAAAAATCGATCCCTAAGGATTCCATTGTAAACGCCAAATAAGCTTGTTGATCTACCTTCATTAGAGTCCTCACATTGAAGGCCCCAGAGGTTTTGCGTTATGTCCATCGAGACATATGTCATCTGTCCGTATCTCCCTTACTTTTTCTGTCACTCCAGAGCCCAGACTGCAAGTCACTATTATCAGCTTTCGCTATTCGTGATGTGGTCTCATCTCCAACCCCANCAATCCTCATCCCTTGGGCCCCAACCTGGAAGGCAGGCTGCACCAACCGAAGCCAAAGCTGAAGCCAGCTTCTTCATGCCTCTAGCTCATTTCATGATCTGACCGCCGCGCCGCTTCTTCCAGCCTTGCCCGGCACGTGCAAAGAGAGCACGGAAAGGTAGTCGATGGGCAGGCATACGCAATACGTGACCAAGCCATCGGAGGCGGTGTAAAGCGATTACTTCTGTTAGAGAACGTCTATCCGCACCCAACACGCCACGATGAACCTCGTCATTACTCACCCGGTTTACCCACCAGACACGAGCCATGCATCGGAGACATCGGTGGTCGAATACGGAAAGTCAATTAGCATCGTTAACACGGCAATATGCATCCTTCCCTTAAGGGAGAGTCGGATATCATGGCGGCGCCACAGTTTTCGCAGGTTAGCGAAAGCTGCTCTAGCTTTCGCCATTCGTGCTGTGATCTCCGCAACACCCCACCAGCTGTGATTAAGCTCCCGAGGTACTTAAAGCTCTCAATTACTTCCAGCTGATCACCACAAATGGTGAGTGCAGGCACAAGCTCCTGCCAGTCTTGAACAAAAACTTTGCACTTGGACGGCGTAAAGCACATGCCGTACCTAGATACCTTTGTCGGTAAGCGGTTCAAGGCGTTGTGGACTGCCTGTGTGTTGTCACCCAACAAGGCGATGTCATCAGCATATTCCAAGTCAAGAACTCTGTTCCCTGGGAGGAGTTCAACCCCCCCCCNCCCCCCCCCATCTGCTAGGCCGGACAAAGCATTCTGTAGAACATCCTGTATGGCGAAGCTGAAAAGAAATGGGGGTATAAGGCAGCCTTGCCGAACTCCACTGGAGATGGCGAAGGGTGGCGAAAGTTGACCATAGGCCCTAACCCGACCTGAGGCATGACGATACAACTCTTTGAGGATCGACACATACTTTTCAGTTACTCCGTTCCTCAACAAACAGTTCCATAGTGCGGTCCTATCGACAGAGTCGAAGGCCGCACGAATGTCTAAGAGCACAAAGATCGTTGGTCTTTGGTAAGCATGACGGTGCTCTAGCAGCTGTCGGAGGGTGAAGATTTGATCGATGCACCCATGACCGGCACGAAACCCAGGTTGCTCCTCGCGGGTCTGCTCCTCACGCGTAGTGTACAATCGGCAGAGAATGACGGACGCCACCAGATTTGACGCTATCGGGATTAGGCTTATGCCCGTATGATTGGCGCAGTCATTGCGCGGACCGTTTTTAAAGATGGGGACGACAATGGACTGCCCCCACAAGGAGGGTACCTGCTCAGTGTTCCAAACTTTCGAGAACTGGAAGCGGAGTTCTCTAACAAGCTGTATTCCACCATCTTCAAACAGAGCTGGAGGAAGGCCATCAGAGCCCGGCGCTTTGTGACGTCCAAAAGCTTGGATCTCCTTACGGATTTCTGCCTCAGAAGGTGGGTCTGTTGAAAGGGGCCATAGGACGTGTGCCGGAATAGCTGTGTGAGAAGCTGGTGCGGGTTCCCAGCTAAACTGTGCTTTGAAGTGCTCTGCCCAGCGTGCAACACGTCGCTGTTGATTGTGAATAAGCGAGCCGTGAGCTTCATAGATCGTTTTGCTCACACCCAAGGCTCTCCTACCGGTGACTCGGATGAGATGGAATAGCTTACGGGAATTGCCTATGGCGATAGCACGTTCCATCTCTGATGCGCGTTGAGTCCACCAAATCTCGCGGTCTCTGCGTAGGCTTGCATTAAGTTCACGTCTCATTACAAGCCGTGTTTCATTATGCTCTCTGCCGTTGGGAATGAACCGACGCGCGTCAACAAGGCGTAGACTGCAGAAATCTAGGGTGTCACGGCGCGACGTGTCAGACCACAACTAAGCCAGCAGAATGCAGAGCATTCTTAATAAGCGACCAGTGCTAGTTAACATCGTCAGGTGAGATTGGTTCTAGCTTTTCCGCTGGCCTATTTTGAAAGACGGCTAAGCTCGCTGGTTTGGACAGCTTATCACAGTCTAACTGTCGTTGTGTCGTGCGTTTGGGACGCCCACCGAAGCACATGTACAGCTTAGCGCATACTAATGCGTGATCGGATTCGAGGGGAGTGCTCCAGCACGATTGGCAGTCTTGAATGCTGCCCCGCCATTTGTGGCTTATCGCAATGTGGTCGATCTGCGTCCGTCTCTGACTCGAGGAGGGCGGACGCCAAGTGTCGTACCGGCAGTTGGAGCGTCTGAAGTTCGTACTGGCGAGGAACAGGCGGTGGTCGGAACACAAAGTCAGCAGCCGATCCCCGTTTTCCGAGCGACAGGAATCTAGTCCAAAAGGACCTCCCAGGTGTGCCTCGCTCGAAGTCAACCGGCCTACTCTAGCATTCATATCTCCTGCTAAAATCACGATATCAGCCCGGGTCGCTTTACGCAAGAGGTCGTGTAGATTGTGGTAAAATTCATCTTTGACTGCATCTGGGCTGCAGTTTGTTGGAGCTTACGCCGATACGACAAACAAGTTTCGTCTATCGTAGCGCCGGCTGCTTACCTTGCACGAACCTCTGAGTCTCACTGCGCACAACCTACTGTCGACTGGGATCCAACCCAGGAGGGTGGTGTCAGCTATCTCACTGAGAGCTACGCCGACGCCAGAAAGACCAGAAGTCGCAGCCTCTGGGTCCTCGGAAAGACGCAGGTGAAACTTTGTGGATGAGTTTGACGGGGACGTCAATCGGATAATGGAGCTGGAGTCTTGAATGCGAGTTTCTTGGATGCAACACACATCGGTGGCTAGGGTTTCGAGCGTACGAGCTAAACACGCCTGTTGTGCTACACTCATCAGGGCCCGCCAGGTAATGTGGCTAGTTTGAATGGTCATGGAGAACGAAGAAGTGCTTCAACTGGTGTAGGATTCGATGAGACTTGGACTATTAGAGGGCGGAC